GACATCAGGTCCTGCAGTCCAGGCGCGGCCCTGCGTGCCCCGGCGGGTCCTGCCCCGCCCTCGCCCGTTCCCACTTGTTGATTTTTGAGACGGGGTCTCACTACGTGGGGTAGGCGGAACTGTAGCCCCCAGCTCACGCTGTCCTCCTGCCTCAGCCTCCCGAGTGCCAGGATGACAGGCGAGAACCCACCACCCCCTGCCATTGACTACTTGCATCCAGCGCCTGGTCCCTTCTCTTTCTCCAGGTGTGACTGAGCCCCTGAACCTGGGACCCCCTAGCCCTACCCCGGGGGCTGGGACCCCGTTCTGCACCGCTCCTTCCTCCCGATGCCCCTCCCTGAGTGCTGTCACCCACTGCCTGCCCCACCCCGCTCCACCCCGGGGACAGAGCGTCCAGGCCTGGCCCAGCAGAGGCGATGGCACCAGCGATAGCAGTGGGGAGCGGCGCTAATGCTGGGGGTAGAGGGGGGCACCCCGCCTCCAGGGACAGAGGTTCTGGTCGGCTGCCCGCCGAGTCAGGTCAGCCAGGGGAGGGCCCAGCACTTGTCCGGGGCTCTGCCTGGCTCCCCTCCAGCCCGTGGATGAGCTGGTCAGGCCAGGCCTGCAGGTCCTGTCAGCACCACATGAGCCCCCCGGCTGGGAGGCCAATTGTCATTTTTTGTTTTGTTTTGTGCTTTTGGTACCCGGGATCAAACTCAGCACCTTGTGTTTGCAAAGCCAGTGTGGTACCACTGAGCTACATCTCTGGGCCAATTCTGTATTTCTTTTCCGTGTTTCTGAGACAGGGTCTTGCTTTGTAGTCCAGGCTGCCTTGAACTGACCACCATCCTCACCAGGCCTGCAGGCCCATTTTACCCACAGTTAATCCCTGCTTCCTGAGCTGGGCTCACCCCGGCCAAGGTCAGTCCTGGGCCCTGCTGGCCGGGCCCTGAGGAGGAAGTGTCCCTGCTGGGGCATGAGTCCCTAATAGACACGAACCCGACGCATCCCACTGGGCAGAGGGCGGGCCAGGGCCCAGCCAGGTCCTGATGCCATCCAGGGCCACTTCTGACAGACCTTGGGGTCACCAGCCCCATCCACAGCAGGCACAGCCAGGGACAGCCCTGGTGCCAGCCCTCCGTATCATCTCAACAAACCCCAATGCCAGCTGGCCTCCCGGGTACTGCCCAGTGCCAAGGAGTGGACACAGGAGCCGGAACGGGTAGGGAAGGGCACCAGACAGACCGCTCTGTCTACGGCTCTGTCCCCACCCACCCCAAGGGGTTCCCAGGAGGGCCCAGGGCAGCAAGAGGCAGAGGAGACTGGACAGGGCTGAGCATTTATTGCAGCGCTAAGAGGGTGCTGGGCTCGCCCGCCTCTGCTGTCTGCACGTCCCCCTGCCTTGTCTCCTCTGTGCCACCTCCTGGAGCCTTCCCACCTGACCCTGGCCTCCTCGAGGCTCAGACCTGCACTGGCATTGCGGCCCTCAGTGACCTCAGCAGCATCCCTTGTCCCTTCCCCCGAGCCAGCCGCCTGCTCTCCACCCCCAGTGACCACCATCTCCGGCCCCCTCTCTTGGGGGACTCGGGACCCAGGCATCCTGGCCTCTGGCTCCCTCCTCCCAGCCCCCAACTCTGGGCAAACTACAAAGCATCAAGGGCCCGGCCCGGGTGGGCGCAGCGGAGCCCGGCCCGCCGCGCTCAGCCTCTCTGTGCTTCCTGGGACATGGAGCGGGACAGTGTGCGGCGGAGGGCGCCCGGCTTGCTGACGGACACCA